CCACTTCCCCCTCTTTTTTGCCCTCCCCCCCACACCCCCCAAAAAAAAAGGTGGGGGGAGGGCTGGGCAGGGAAGGTCGCACATTGCTCTGGTAGGTCGCTCACATCCTCCCCTGCTCATCAGCAGCCACCCCAAGTCCTGCCATACCTGCACCATGCCGCACCAGTCCCTTGAGCACCCTGACACACCCTCCCCCACCCAGAAGCAGCTGGCCCCTTGCACATGCTCCCACACCTGGCAACACCCATCCAAGCCCTATTGTGCTTGCACCATGATGCACAGACCCCTCCTGCGCCCTCCAACAACCAGCAGCAGCCAACCTAAGCCCTGCCATGCGTGTGCTGCACTGCACTGGCCCCTCGCTCACCCTCATGCAACCTCCCCAACCTGGCAGCAGCCACGTCTATTTTAGCAGCTTGACAAAGGGCCTTGTGCTTCTCGTCCCACTGTAACTTTGTTACATAACCTGCTCCTGGTAGTATTGAGTTTTCAGTCCTTTGACCTTTTGGCTGCTGCTTGGAAAAGCACCGGTTTTATCCTGCCTGCAATCATCTCAAGTTCAGTTACACTGATATATTTTCAGCAGCCTAATCCTGAAAAGGGTTGCCATTTTGAGTGTGCTTTCAACACTTTTCAGTGCTCATTTGTGGCCCACCAAACGTTGCAGAAACTTCAGCAGTACCAAACAACATGGTTAATGGTGAGGGATGCTGAACTTTAAAGAACAAAATCTGGAGGACCACAGGTTCCCACTAATATATTATGCCACTGCAAGCCAAAGCAGGGTGAATGGGACAGAGTAGCTCAAGTTTAGCAAAGGTAAAAAAAAAAAAAAAGGCAAAAAGAAGTAGCAAAAAGGCAACAGACCTTTAGCTTGTAAAGGAGTATGTTTAAGCTTCTGCTCTACAACTTGCTTAGCCATAATTAATGTTTTACTCAAATACTCCAGTTTTATGGGATCTCATGGCACACTGGACCACATAGGCTATATTCACACAAGACAGTGGAATAAAATATAATTTTGTGCTTCAGGAGGTTATGCAAACACAGCCAGTATGGAGAAGTAGTATTTCTGACTTACAGCCCCAATATTGCTCAAAATGATGTTTAAAATTAAGACCTGGCTTTTCTCTCAGGCTTTTTGGCTAGGACCTTATTTGACTCCGAGATAGATAGATAGATAGATAGATAGATAGATAGATAGATAGATAGATGCATTATTCTACTTTGTTTTATTTATGTTTTCAGTATTGTTGGCCATCCAGAGTTACTAGATTGAAATGGGTGACCTTTTGAAATGGGTGATCAATCCATTCATTTCCAGGAACTAAAATATGATTCTCTCTCTCTCTCTCATGACCTAGAATAACAGCATCAAACATTGCTGGATGAATAGTTCTTCCTTTTTAACTCAGGGAACTTCTAACAGTTCCTTCAACACTAAGAGCTCTACTTGTTCTTCCGTAATAAATGGAATCTTGGAAAAAATGAAAGAAGCAGGAAGATTCTTCTATCATGATCAACTCATATATAGATAGTCAGCTTGATGTTTCCTTTATGGCTGAGATAATCTCCCTTCCCACACCATGCCCTATCCTTCATTCACACTGAGTTACTCAATGTAGAAAAACATGAGCTTGTGTGACATTATCCTATGCCTACCCATGCTCATTTGATCAACAACGTGGACTTGGGCACACCCTTGGCTTGCTAAGCAGAAGAGAAGAATTTGCACAAAGTTCTGTGGGAGTAGAAAGGTTACCTCAGGACACAGCACAAACACATAGCATCATCATCAGTGGATTGGGTGCTGGTGGAGGGTGTGTGTGTATAGCCTTTCTGGTTCCTAGGCAAAAAGGAATCACACAGAGAAGTGATTGGCTAGCAGTTTGCTTAAAAGAAAGGCATCAGAGAATTAAACAAGATCAGACAATTGCCATGAGCGTGACAGCATACTGCAGAAGATAAAGGCAGGCAAATAAATAGAGAACATTGATGAATACATTTAAGAACAGAGAAATATTCTTAAATAAATCCTTACTGTGTTTTAAATTCTGCCTAAAAAGCTTTCTAGCTGGATCAGAAATGGGAACGATTCAGCTGTTAAGCAAGACTGGGCACTGGGAAGTATTAAATACTTTGACACGTTACTTCTTTAGTATGGGTCAAAAATTATCTGATGTAGCTTGACCCTGAAAACATGAGAGTTTTTGAAATAGGGATCTCTGACCTCAGGGCTATCCTACTGCAAATAGATGTGCGTTAAAAGCATATGTTGATAGAAGTGGAAAAAGAAGGGCATTTGTAGCCAATGCATTGCAACTAATGTACCATTGCCCAGCAGGAAAGTCTGATCATGGAAGATGGTCTGGGCCAACAACAAAGAAGGGAAGCCAGGAAGAAACAAATTAAACATTTAGACCAGTGTTTCTCAACCTTGGGAACTTTAAGGTATGTGGAATTCTGGGAAATGACATTCACACATCTTAAATTTGCCAAGGCTGAGAAACACTGATTTAGACTGTAGCTAGAAACACAGAAATTATTACCAATCCAGTTCTTTACACAGACACACAGCCCTGTCACATATGTCTGGAATTAATCAGAGCTCAACCCTAAGATTCAAGGTATGCCCAGCTGGTTTTCCTTCAAAAATTAAAACCAACTAAAACAATTTGTAATTCCAGCATGCCAAAATCAGCAATCATTCACCTACTAAAGATAAATTGAAAAATAAAGGTTTTAAGTGTTTCCAACATCAGTAGACGTACAACATAGCTACAAAAAAAGGGTAAGACTTTGGTCTCTTTTATGATTGTGTAGAAGAAGGAATTTCAGTAGCTGTAATTCCCCCCCAAATAATATTTGCAGGAATCTTCTCTTTTACACTTAAAAATGCAAATCTTGTGTCATCTTTTGCAGACAAGAGGATATTCATAAGTAATCTAGCTGTAATAGCCAGCAGACTGTACAAGATCTATACAACTTAGTGCTTAAAAGGTCAAGTATTTGGACTGAAGTCACAAATGAAATGGCAAGTAGTGTAGTCAGCTTAAGATAGATATTTTATGAAGTTATAAATACTTATAAATGGCAACTGGTGAGTAAAAGCATTTTAACATAACATAAAACTCTGTTAAATATATTACACATTATCTGGAAAACATCTTTCCTCGCTATATACAGTAGATGCGCTAGCTACCTTGGTTTGACAGAAATCTATACTGGCATGAAATTTGCTGTCCCTGTTGTTGAATCCTATCTAATGCTTCTGGTCCCAGTTATTGCAATCACCTGATTTCCCTCCAAATTAAAGATTAAAGATTTTATATAAACTCAATGTTGCCCTTGGATGTAAAATTAATCAGAGCAGGTCACTCCATATAAGAGATTCTACACTACTAATGCTGAGGATTTATCTCTTTGTGTACAGGAATAAACCTCACTTTATTCATTAATTGTGCTAAGTACTTAATATTCATTGGACTTTTTAACAAATGAAACAATAGAGTGTGAAGAGCAGTAATTATACACCAGCTTTCCCTAAGCAATTTTGTGAGGCAATGAAATAGTCAAAATTACTAGGCAACATAGAATTTCAAAGAACACTAGATTGGGGGAAGCAGTCTTATCCATATATTTTCTCCCATTATCAGTTTCATAATGCTAAAGTCAATTATTAAGTTCTGCCTGCCTCACTTGAACTCCAGAAGTTGTAAGAATGTCAAACCATACAATCTACCTCAGACAGGCTAATATAAAAAAATAGAGATCATGTCAACAAAGCCACTGATAGCTCTAACTGAAAATTTGATGCGCACAGTTGCTTATCAAGGAATTGATTTCTGTATTCCAGAAAATAATTTCCACTTGTTACAAACCATTGGGTATATGGGAACAATTGCATGTTAACCTGACTGCATACATGAGGAAACATATCAAACATGTAGACTGAGACCTACTTCACACATGATTCAGCCACTAAGCGTATTAAACTAACCAGTTGACTGGATTCACCCACACTCTATATTAAAATAAAATAAACCACATAAAGCTTATACATGTTGTACAAGGCACCATGGTTTCATGATCCAGTTTTCAAAACTTTTTTTTTAATGAAAGGAGTTTTAGCCTGTTCTTCCATTCATTCCATTGAAAAGGTATGATGATGATGTTAATGGTAATGAGTTCAATTTATATACCACCTTTCTACCCAGAAGCTATAAGATACTAACCATTTCTATTAATTTTAGATAAAAGCCATTTGGCTAATTGTATCCTTTGACTTTTCTCCCTATATACATTCACATTATCACAGACCATGTTTGTACCTTTACTAATACAGACATTTGTTTGCCATGTCTAAAAAGTATCAAATCACTTTTCTACAAAATAACTAGATTTCTACAGTTAAGCAAAACAATTGCTGAACGAAGATGTTTTAAGAGCTAAGATCCAGGAAATGTAAATTAGCAACAGTGTCTATACCTAGGTTCACAGGTCCAGCAGGATAGAATTATATTTCTTTGTTTTGTTTCATTTCTAAAAGGTAAATTCCTTTGGGACCTAATTTAACAGAAGAACAGGCTAAAACTCCTTTCATTAAAAAAAAGTCTGAAGACTGGATCATGAAACCATCTGAGTGAGAAAAACTATAGTTATCAAACTGTAAAAAATAATACATAGAAATGTGAAGTGATACAAAAATAAAATTAAAAAATAGTAACCTGTGGATTAATTTCACAAAATTAAAAAATCTGGACAGTGTTCATAAGATTCTTACATAAAAATAGTATGAATGAATGAATGAATGAATGAATGAATGAATGAATGAATGAATGAATGAATGAATGGCTGCTGAAGTTCTGCCTTTTGTGGACTCATGGCTCCTGTTAGAAAAGCAGATGGAGTCTGTGGCCTGGAGTGGAAGGGTCTTGCTACAGTGACTCATGTCCTTGTCACCACCCAATTGGAGTACTGCAGTGCCCTCTACATGGGGCTATCTTTGAAGATCACTTGGAAGCTGCAGAGTGAACTTCAAGTGCAGCAGCCCATTTGTTGACTGGCGTTCACCATTGGGAACACATCACCCCAGTGTTGCAGGCCATGCACTAGTTGCTTACAGGCTTCCATGCACAATTTCACATACTGATATTAACCTCTAAATCCCTACATGGCTTGGCACCTAGTTATCTACAGGATCACATTCTCCCATTGAAATCAGCCTAGCAAGTTTTATTTTCTTGGGGAAAATGATTAGCAGTATCTCACTTTAAGGGAAGGGGGCCAAGGTTTGATGGGACTCCTTTTGAAGTGACTGCACTGGTTCTTTTGAATGATTCTGAGTAGACGTCTGGTTGGTCCAATGCTAACAGCCTTTTGGAAGCTGCTCATAACAGAGCTTTTCTGAAAGGCATTTGGGCCTTGACTCCAT